TCTGCGAGAATAAGTAGGCCAAAACTCTTCTGTGTAAATGTTCAAATGTGTAAAAATTCATCTGAGTTTTATAATAACATGCTGAATAATCAAATGAAGAATTATTTATGTTGTTGTGTTTTTGTTCATGAAAAGTCAGTTTTTTGTTGAAGACCTAATGACATTCAGAGCCATATTTTAAGAGCGGTGCATTTTGAGTGCATGAATGCCACACAGCTCATCATGTTCATTTAGCAATGGGGCTAAGTGCCAGGTATAAATTAGGCTGACATAATCGGGAGTGCAAAGCACAAGGACCATTTGTGTCATTGTGTCATGATGTTATGGTGCTCACTTATAGAGAATGTAATCGTAATCCATCTTTAATCATATGAATTAAACACTACACTATGGCTAGTATTCACTGTGTACTGTGTGCACAGTGATAGAATTTCAGACTGAGAACATGCACTTTGACAGCACCTGCTGGTGGATTCCCTAAACTGCAAATGAGTTTAGACTTTGTGTGGAAAATAGACATGGATCTCAGATGTCTTACATGTCCTACTCCACAAAAAAATAGTGGTCCTTTATTTATATGGACGTCCCAAACAGTGCATGTCATCCTGGCAGAAAAATCACAGTTTGATTTAGAGATCAGATGCACTCTTTCACAGCACTGGTCATTTCTAGTAAAACATACAGTATATCATAGGTGTTAGGATCACTTTTAGTCTGCCTTCACAGACTAGTGTCTGTCAATATTAAAATGCAAAAGACTGCTATTTAAATATGAAGTCTGCATATTAAGCTCTTTCTTTACAATAGAATACTTCTCAAGTAATAATAATTAAAACATGATTTCTTAAGAGTATGCAGCACCAAAAATTTAAAGGAATTATTAACTTTAATTTGATGATTTTATATTAAAATACTTATTAAACTGTTAAAGTTGTAGGCATTCATTTGATAACCACCATTTTTTTTATATTTCCTGAGAATTCCTGAAAATATAAAATATTTTATAGGGAACTACCATTGTTAAATTTGAATAAATTATTACATTTTTAATGTTTTGTGAATTTAATTTATTAGAAGTGCTTATTGAATATTTAACTAAAAATGTAACTAACCATTAAATTGGAATCCAGAAAAACTTGGAAAAATGTAAAATTGAATTTGGGAAACAATAAAATGGATTCCATAAGGCGGAAGTGGAATTTGGAAAAAACAAGGTCTCTTTTTTTTCTTTTGACTTGAGCGCTGGGTTTTTAGAAAGCCGTGTCATGCTCGAGACACCGCAAAAGACGCGAGACGCGAGCGCAAAGGTAGTGCAGTGGACTGGAAAAGTGTGAGAAAAACTCTTAACGTGGCTTAATAATGTTCAAAAACAGCATCCAGGAAAATCAACTTTCTCTCACATTTCACTTGTCATAAACACTGTACTTCTCAGACAACCACACCGTAATCGAAGTGGATATTGTTACGCTTAACTTGGCTTCTGCATTAAAGGGGTCATATGATGCGATTTCAATTTTTCCTTTCTCTTAGGAGTGTTACAAGCTCTTGGTGCATAAAGAAGATCTGTAAAGTTGCAAAGACTAAAAAGTCTCAAATCCAAAGAGATGTTCTTTATAAAAGTTAAGAGTCAGCCACACCTACCTAAAACGGCTCGTTCTAACACGCCCCCACATGTCTATGTCACTGTGTGGGAAGATTTGCATAACGCCGCACAAATGTTCACGCAAAGAAAGAAGGCGTAACTTTTATTCTCGCTGTAGTATTGTTGCCGCCGCTGCTGCCATGTCGTGAAGACGCTGTGTGTTTCGTTGTGAAAGCGAAACTACTTTGTTTGGTCTTCCAGAAGAGGACGATATCCGCTTCGTTATGCCTCGAGCTGATCTGTGCTGGTCGCTGAGGAAATACAACAACTTCGCGCAGTGGATCGCCGGATCGGCTTTCACCGTGGACGAAGCGGAGTCTCCGGACGCTCCTTCGTCGAATCCGCCGGCCGCACCGTTCTCAAGCCCGCCCGCTTCTGCTCACTCAAGCCATCCGGCCGTTCCTCACTCTAGTGGGGGCATAGAGGAGAAACAATAATGTACAATATGTGGAAAATAATGTGTTTTTTTAACCTTAATCCGCATAAACACATTTCATTACACCAAATACACAAAATAATGTTCTTTTTAGCAACATCATATGACCCCCTTAAGATAGTGATATTAAAAGTTCAAACTCTGCAGAAGAGCCCAGAATATGAATGCAACGCGCAAAGTCTGACGTGTTTACCTCCTACTGTAAAGAAAAAAAGTGGCAACATGCAATTTAAGCTATTTATACCTGTTCTTACTCTTAAATTTAGTTTTGTTGGTTTAACCTAATATATTTATAATGTTAAATAACATTTTTAATATTTTAACTTTTCTATAAAATGAATTCATTTAGCTGTTACCGAAGCACATTTTTAGCTTATCATTACACTTAATGTGGCTTAATGCATTCACACATTAAAAGACCACATTCACTAAAGCTACACCTTGATGATGCAAACTATGAATTTGCTCTGGTCCGCTGCTGCGCTTCATTGCTTTAGAAGTTCAGTACACTGACGACTTGTCACCAGACTTTGCCATGCAATAGCTGTCCTTCCTTCTCGAAACTGAAAGTGATCAAGGCACAGTGTTACAAGAGAGACGGTCCAGTTCAGTTCTTCAGAGTACTGAGAGTACTGAGAATTAGCGATGCTTATGCAGGCCAGTGTTTGAACAGAGATGTGTGCTGGCCATTAGCCCACATGAACTTTACTGAGCGTACTGTTGAATAACATATGTACCGGGGGCCTAGAACAGATGTTTGTGTAGCATTATTGTTGAAGGGTCCTCCTGCTACTGCTAAAAGAACAATCAAATCAGAGCAGCAGCACATTTGCCTCTACGTTCATTGACTATAGCCTATTTATTCCTGCAGAGATTTCAGTCTGTCTAAAAAGCGATATAAAATAGCCTAATGTTATTCAATAACAACATCAAATGCATCAATGCAATGATAAACCATCACATTCATTACTGTTAAATCAGTTATGTGATTGGGGAGACGGACAGTAGAGTGTTGCAACAGGTGCCAAATTAATTTTCATACATGTGTCCTTTAATAACACACTGGACTACATTCTCAGCACATTCACTGCATCGTATGTGTAAATGCAGATGTTTAAATCCACTGGTTGATAGACTTCAGCATATTTCTATGATAACCGTGTCACATGATTTAGTTGAAATACTTGATTGTTTCCTCACCGAATGAATATAAGATATAATACATTAATACTGGTCTGACGCCATCACAGTTTGTCTGAGAAACAAGTCTATAAATTAAAATTGGCTGTAGTTTCTTTTTTAGACCTTATTCAAGTGGTCATGAGTTTTTTGCATGAAAAACAGTCATATAACTGTAAAACACGACGAGTCCCGACCTTCCTTCTGACCCTCTTGTTGATTACGCTGCAAATGCCTTTGATAGTGCGCTACCTTTTTATTAAACCTGAAACCCTTCTTTAATAAATGAATAGCTCTAGGTGTGTTATTTAGCAATCTGAGGTGATCTCACAAGACACAAGATGACTGAATTACTAGAACTGAAACTAGAGAGCATCCCAGTGAACTCATATCAGTGAAAGAAAATCCATGAAAAACTTCAGGTCACCTTCAAGTCTCACATCTGGAAGAATAAAAGGGCTGCATGAACACTTCTTAACACATTCAGACAGAAGATTTCAAACCATGTTGAAATGTTTGGTACTGTAAATGCAGCCCATATCAAAATAAAGTCACCACTTCAATTTCTGCAATAAAAGGCTGCATGATTTTGCAGATGTGCAGATATCAGCACACCCAGAGACCACCAGCCTGTTCACTCACTGTATGATACATTAAGCCCAGCCAAAATCACTCGCTCCAACCACATACCAAAAGATGGGGTGAAAGGTATACTGTTTAATGATTCCAGCAGGCAATTACGAAGAAATCGTTTATGGATTTGACAGTTTTCAACATTTCCAAATCTAATCTTTGAATAAGCTAAATGTCCTGTAAATTCTGCAAAGTTATTTCAACTATATATAATGCATCATTTTTTTTATTCAATTTAATATTATAAATGTAACTCTGCATGTCGGGAAACCCAAATGCACACATGCAAAAAGTGTTTCTGTGAAAGTTTAAGAAAAAGCAAAGCCCCAGGGCTGATGTGATGTTTCTCACGTAATAGCAACATTATGTGCTTTTTTTTTTTTTTTTCAAAAACTAAACGTTTACAGCACCTTCAATTATCAGCCCAGTCTGCCGTTGTCGAACTGTCTTTTATATGCGCACATTTATTCTGCTATGAGTGTCGTTCAGACAAACTGCCAAACCCAATAAATACAAATATTATTTTCTTGCATTAAATGTCCTATGAAAGCTACAAAGCTACAATAAACTAACAGTGGCCCCACTGGTTTCTTTCACAGCAACAAACTCACAGTCAAAGCCAAATGAAGAACATGACATGTTCATGACATCAAAAGCATCCTCACTGAGCACATTTCTCATCAGATATCCTGGTGCGCGTGTTTTTCTTCAGAGTGACTGAAGCATGAAGTGAATCTATCTGATCACTAATTTCACATCAATCATTCAAACTTTAATTTTGTTCCACTCATTAATACTGCATACCTGCATGCTATTATAAATATAAATATCATTCTTTGGGTGTGTTTCATTTAGTAGTGTGCCTAATGACCTGAAGATGTTAGTATGTCATACGACCTATAATATACTATCAGGTGTACAAATAAATGATGAATTGTCAGTGTCATTGGAAAGCCACTAATGAGGAGTCTTCATCAAACTGGACTTAAGAAAATAATTACAAAGTAGCCAAACAGTGCATTCCATTTGCTATGACTAACAATAAAAATTCTAGTACAGTATACAAAAACTCTAGAATATGATCTAAATAAAGGGGGGCATTTACTGTACCCGAAGGATGCCGACTTCCACTGTCGGTTTGGCACAGTTCTCCTGCACACGGCTGATCTGAGGCTGCCGGGACTGTCTGTCGTTTCCACAGGAAGAGAGGCATGTCTTCTGCAGACAGAAACACAACTCAGACACTTCACCACAGTCTGCGCAGAATGTCCGAGCTTAAATACATGTGGATGCGGAGCTCCCAAATGAAAACTCAAACACCTTGCAGGGTGTTAGCAAGCACTCAGAATAATAATGGCAAGCACTCACAGGGTATTGTGGAGAATAATGGACATCACGTTTAAAACGCTTTCAAATTCAGAGAATATTCACCATCACCAATACAACAGAAGTAAACATACAACATACCTGACGATTCTTGTACTGCCATATTCTGACCTGAAACACAAAAATAATTAAAGAAAAAAAACATATGGAAGCAGAGTAGAACCAATCGAAATCACATTTAGTCACACTGAAAGGGAAAACATTCAATAAACCTTCATTTATTGTTAATACATGTGCTTTTTAACAAGTGCCACTGCAGAATTAGAATTAGAAAATTCCAGCATATATTTCAGAAATTAATTTTATGCACTGTATTCATATATAGAGTACTGCAGCTGTGACGTCGAAACCCAGAAGACTAATGTGCCACTGATTCCCCTTGAGTTTTTATAATTGGTTTGGTTTTAAAATTCATGAGTAAAATGAGGTCTTTCATTTCATTTCATTTAAACATAACTTGACGATACTTGGACATTTTGCTCTACAACATAATTTACACACACCCATAACGAAAACACAAATTTTGAGGCAGTTATTTATTTATTTTTAAATAATGTTTGTAATGAATGTAAGTAACTACATAAGCTTTGTGTTTTGAGTGCAGTTTACGCTGTACAACAGTACAACGTATAATCAACACTATTGTCCAGTCAGACCTTATTTTACTTACAAACCCCTATTATAAAAACCCACAGGAAAATCCCAAGGGAAACCAGTGGTGAATTAGTCTTCCGGGTTTTGACGTCACGGCTGCAGCTCTCTGTACTGTCAGCATCTGTGGCCATGACCCACCTCACATATTAGTGTTCGAATGTCAAATATCAACTCCAGTGCATGCAACATTGAGAGTAAAACTATACTGTGCCACTGGCTTGTATAGATATATTGGCTTTAATCTTTAAAAGTTGCTGACTGCTCAGATTGCACACTCTGTCCTGACTGAAGGCAAACATCATACTGGAGCTGGATGACAATTGCCTGCGGTTATGAGGGATCTCAGGACTGTAATATTACAACAGAAGCCATTAGAGGTGAGTCTCCTCTCAGCTGCACACTGCACTGTTTGAAGACGCCACTGTAATAAACGTCAGGTCACTCCACAAGAAAAGACGCAATGAACACATCGGCCACTGCTCTGATTTACTGCTGGCTTCCTGTGTTATACATAACCCCTTAAATGTTCATTTGTTCCTCACATAAAGCCATGGCTTCAGAAGAGTGCATTTATAGTGTATGGGTCATTTCAATTGAATTGAATGAGCACTTGTAATGTAAAAGTATATTTTTAAGGGTAGCCCATTTGTGAAAATGTCTCAGAAATACTGATGCAGCGGTTTGATTGAAAACACTGATGAATTTCTACATATTTCATCTACTGTAAATAGGGTCCTTATTGGTTGCCTTTCAGTCGGTCCCGCTCGATGTCACGTCAGGTGATGACCGACGAATTGGGATCTAGCCAGAGAGACCAATCTGCTTCGAGTGTAACTAAACTAGCCAATGGGCACTGGAGTGTGGAATTTGCATCTGGCTGCTCAAGGCTCAAACCTTGCAGCGCAGCTATAAGAGGCAGCAGGTGCACCACATTCGTTCATGCTTTCGCTAAGGAGCCGAGCCGGTGACCCGGCAGCTCAGCGGTGGTACAGCAACTGTGGCGACGAGACGTGACATCTCCGTTCCCTCCTTCAGGGAACAAGGGTTACATGAGAGGGTAACAGAGATGTTTCTATATACTGTACTTTGCAGTGTGCGAGGTCACATAATGGCTAAGCCTTAGTTCATGAATATCAGTTATGCACAAATAATTCAGCTTATCAAAAAAGGGACGCTGCACATTTCAAAGTCGAGTGTTTCATACACAGGTGTTTTTATATGAATGTATCTCTGAAGGGAACCAACTGTTTCAGATAAGTTTCAATAGCATTTTCATGCTGGGGGGGGGGGGATTATGTATTTTTCAATATCAAACCAAGCACACTCCAAAATGAGACAAACTCTAAAAACAATACAATATATAATAAATAAAAAGTGTTGTTTAAATAAGCGTTCACCTTCTAATATCTGACTAAGAGGCAGGTTTGTGGAGGAAGTGCATGAGAGGAGTCTTACTGCTGCAGCGGGCTGTTCTCCTGGATGCAGCGCAGTCTGCAGGAGAGCAGGTGCCGCTGGTACTCGTGTCTCAGGCGGCTGTTCTCGGCGCACAGGTCGGACACATGCTGCTCCAGCTCAAAGATGCGCCTCTTCTGCCGCTCCAGCAGCGTCTGCTGGGTCTCTATGATCTTATTCAGCTCCTTCAGGTAGCCCGCTGCCTTCGTCGGATTCTCGGTCCGGTTGTCCATCGTCTTCTCATTCAGCTTTACTAACCTGGGCCAAATATCGCCTCTTTCCTCCAGGTGAAGACGCGCGGTGATGTAGGGGAGGTGCGCAGGTCCCGCGCTCAGCCATGCTTCTGTCAAACACTGACTCTGCGTCTCCTGCGGCGGCTCTGTGCCACTGAAGCTTAAACGCGGCTATAGCTTAAATATCGTTCCCATCGCAGGTCTGGAAGAAGTTGGTGGTGCAGCAGAGAATATTTCATCCACTTGCCATACAGCACAATACACTTATAAATGGTGGCGCAGTAGCACCCTGAATGCACCGCATGCGACGCGACGCGACGCGACAACGCAGCTGTCTACACTGCAAACGCGCGACGTCGAATAAACCCGCCGCACGCATAAACAAAGGCTCTGATTGGTCGACTGGTTCATCATCCTTATGCTCCGCCCACAAGCGAGGGTTTACATCCACCAGTTCCGTTAAGGCTGCAGTTGCAGCCTCACCCTCAGTGGTCGCACTTCCTGTTTCAACAGTCAGAGAATAGACAGAAGGAAACATGAGTTGCAGAGAATTATTCTGAAATGTAATATGAGCACCCAATTTATGCAGCAAATCTCTACCCAAAAGGCAAAATGGAGCATCAGGTATTATCGCAAATGCGTGCATCTTAAACAAAGAAGGATTGTCTTTAGAAGTTACCGGTAAAGTTGGTGTCATTTCACAATGTACAGGGACACCGGAAATTCCCACTGCTTTTTCCTACAAGCGATAGCGAAGTGTCCCGGAATGCCATAATAATAACAAACTTTCGACCCTGCCGCCTGCTTTGAACGTGCTTTGACAACAGTATTAAGCTGCATCATTGCTGTAGGTTTCCCTCGGGAGGCCTCAAAAGCCCCCACGGTGGAAAGCTCACGCAGTCTCCGAGACAAAGTGTCAACAGAAATATCTGTTATATTCGAAGTTGTCAAACGAACCAATTGTGCGATTTCTTTTTGCATGTTCTTCAAAAACGTACTGACAAACAAAGGAGAATGTTGATCTAATGCAATGGCAGATTCTTCAGTCCAAGCATGCTTAAATCGATTGAAAAATGCAACAGGATTTTCGCCCGCTTTCTGTTTCGTGTTTGCAGCATGCGACAAATCTTGCTTAGCCAAAGACAATTTCACCAGAAAAGCAGTCAATTGTCTGAAAAATTCTTTTAGCTTTTCCACATCAGCCCAAACCCATGC